ATGGCGATTGAGATGCGATTCACCAAAATAATTGTTCTCTTCATCATTTCCTTGACGGCGTTTCAGTTTACGGCCGTTGCGACCGCATACTTCGCCATTGCGACCTCATCCTTCGCCGTTTCGGCCTCATATATTACCCTTGCCCTAATATATATATATTGATGTTGGCGTTGGGTCAATCATACGATCGCGACTCTGGCTATCTTTTCCGTGAACGTTCATGGCCAAATCATTGTTGACTCACTTGTTCTAAAAGAAATAGGCTTTGTGTTTCTTTCGTGGGCGATGGATTTGGTGATTGCCTCATATTTATATTTGCTCTTCACATCACTATTGGCTTACTTTAACCGATCAAATTTTAGATGCGTTGCCTCTCGTCGGCAATCTTGTTGCGGTCATTCACAAGGGCATTGGCTCCGCAACTCACAATCTGACTAGTGGAGTCGCATGATTTTTGGACAAAGACATGGTACTCTGTCTTTGTGGTTTCTCAAGTGGTCAATAAACTGTGATTTCAACTCTTCATCATGGATGGTATTATCTCTCGTAGTGGTACACGATGGCTATTACAAAGTCCTGTCGGTTCGATCTCGTAACCGTTTCTTCTCTCTTGGTAGAGTGTTATTTCCTAGGAGATGGTTCTATACCCTGTGTACTCTTCGATTTTTTCTATCGATTTGTGAACGTTTTCCTTGGTGAACGTGTTCAAATTCGTTTATTATGGGATCCGGGAATATCCATTATGGAGATAATACTATGTACGAGAAACCATCATTTTCACAAGCGTCTTCATCTACCGAAAGTTTTTTTGGGGTACATGTATAATTTTAGCAAGGTCTCTGTTAAGCAATGGAAGCCATGTGGGTTTACTAGGAAGATGTCAGTCATGGGATCTACCGATTTAGAAGAAGTTGTGGAAATGAATGTTTTTGAATAATTGATGAAAGTGAAACTTGTAGTCAACAATCGACAATGTTATGATAGGCGAATACGGTATGTTTTACCGAATATCAAAAAGACAGAATCCACAAACATCTTCAACAACAATTCAACTACTGTTATAATCCAAGTAGAAACTTTTTAATAAATGCCACTTTCTAAGTGCCACTTTTCAAAAATGTCACATTTTCAAAATCTTTCCAAAAATGCCACTTTTTAAAAATTATTTACTCATTGTATT